GAGCATTGTTTGCAACGCTACATGCACACGGTCTGCACCGAATGCGAACAAGTCAGTGAGCGAAGACAAGGACTTGTCAGACAAGCCAGCCCATGCCCATGTACAACGTACTCGTTGCTGCAGACAGCTAGCTCCTTTGGCCAATGAGGTCCCATCAGACCAACTCCAAGCTGAGTGGACCAAGCAGGCAGCCATGGCGAATAGAGCAAGAGACATCAAGAAAGCTCAATGCACAACATAATAAACTGGCATGTCAGACATGGCTGAAACAAGGTTGCCTTTGCTTTACAACAGTGCCCATAGCCGCACTGTAGCACTGTAGAGCCTTCAACAATGAAACTCAAGTAGAAAGTAAAGACATCCTTAACGGCATTGTCAACTTGTACCAAACCAAAAAAAGCTGGTTACTTACGTGCAGTACGTGCCGCGGACATTCACACCAAACATCAAGTCAAACCTACGACACACACACACACATACACACACACACATACACACACACACACACACACGCACACACACACACACACACACCGGGAGGGCAATAAAGATATGGATTTCAGACAGACAATGTTTACAGCACATGTGAACTGTAAAATAAATCAAATAATGCAGATTTTATTATCGGTCTAATGTATGACCTGGTCTGGCTGTACCAACACGGTGGTCAACTGGGACACGCTTCATTGTAATGCAACAGCCAAAAAAGCATGTATTTTTTCATTAGCCCTCTCACTACCAGCCATTCAAATATCGATCCACGTGGATCGATGCAATAGGCAATCACCAAATATTTCGTCACACGCTCAAATATTGTCGGATTATTACAAATGAGGGCTCTACGTCTTCAGAAAGACCTTGACTATCGACTGCAACTACCGCTTTCACTCCTTGGTGCATAATTGGCGCACGACGAAGCTCGAAGCTAGTGCGCGATCAAAAATGCGCATTCAAACATTTTGAGTCGCCGTCACGCTGAGAATAACTCTGATATCTTCTCGCTTATCTATGCGTTTTGGGGCTGAAATCTCTCGGGTTTTAGGTATTTTCACAAGAACTTCGTCTGGTTTCTATGAGCCACGATTTTACAAATCAGTGAACCACTCGTGACAGATCGCGCTGCGCATATTTGTTTGAGTTTGAAAACGTCTTCTTCATCACGGCGCGGCACACACGAATGGCGCTTGGTGTTGTAGTTTCTACGAGTGCGTAGCTGCCATTATTAGCTTTCCAGAGAGTGGTTGTTTGTGAGAAATGGCCAAAGGAGAGCAGAGATATAACAAAAGTAGTATTTTTGTAGACTGTGAATTGACTCAATTGCGAAAATGATGAGTACTGTAGTGAAAGGGTTAACTTAAAATGAAAGCAGCCATCATCCTCTGTAAGAGGCGATTTACACGACGGCAGGATTCATCCAATGCGTGATGGAGATTCAGTCATGTGAACTCATATTTTGGCGCAAACGTATCCCGCGAGCTATCCCGGTACGGTCCCGGGAGGGGGGGGGGGGGGGGGGGGGGGTGGGGGTGGAAATGCATGCCGTGCCATTTCGTGGGCTGTTTTGTACTAATAACTGTACGTGCATCCTGCCGTGTGAATCGATTTTCGTTTTTCCCTTTCCCGCGTTACAGCAAGCTCTCGGGAGCACGTGCTTCACTTCCCGGCAGGATGCACTGCCGTGGTGTAAATCGCCACGAAGCAACTGCAGGCAATGTGATTATGTCGTTACCTCTTCATTGGTGTCTCCTGGGTACCAGTCAGAGAGATGGCACTAGCGTTGTTGATCACTATGTCAATGCCACCAAACGTCTGCACGGCCTTGTGCACAGCCAGTTCCACAGCAGCCTCATCACGGATGTTCACCTCACACGGCAGACACTTACCTCCGGCTTCCTCAACTGTACAATGACACAAGGAGACAATCAAGATTATCAGCTCTACATGGATTTCGATCATATCATTTTTAATTTTTATCAGTCAACTTGAGGACAACCCCGTATATGGCAGACAATTCGGACCAATTTCCCATACGTGGAACACAGCCGGAGGGCAACATCCATAGAGGTATGAGGGCAAAATACCCTTATGTGGGCAGGTTTGTATTCATGCCGTAGTAACGCACATAAGCGCATGTGCCTGTATATAAGCGCACTCTCACCAAAATTCTCACTTTGACACAATCACGGATAAAAACTCCTCAAACAGCATACAAGAACCATGACACTGACACTACAAGACCTAGTCAAACGAACTCTGATCGCGCATGCGCGTTAAGGTGAAAAACATTTCATTTTGAAAATTGGATTCGTAGCAAAAATTCACTTACCGTATTTCCGCGCATATAAAGCCATGGCGTTATATCCGAATATAAGGCCACCCTCACTTATAAAGCCATGGCGTTATAAGTGAACAAAATTCAATGTGGAGGAATTAGCATCTGGCATTAAAGGTGAGTTCAATTCTTTCAGTGAACCTACAGCAGCGGCGATTCTCCCTGCATGTACCCATCCCCACTGTCACATGCCATGCCGCCACCACACCTTCACACAAGGTTGTATGCCACCTTGTACACAATAGGTTCACAATTTGAAATTTTCAGGGAAAATTGAAAAAACATGGATGCTCGACATGAAAGTGCAACGGCACCATACGAGTACTCGAAGTTCATACTCTGCCGTTTTTTGCATGTATGCGTCTCTCACTTTTAGCGCCATGGCGTTAAAACCGAGGCTATTTTCTCCAAAAATTTGGTCCAAAAACAGCGATGTTTCACCTATAACGCCATGGCTTTATATGCGCGGAAATACGGTATAAGCGCATGCGCTTTTAAGTCCGTTATTACGGTAATGTTTATCAAAAATCCACCCACAGTATGTGTATGTGTTTTCACAGTGACAGCGTGAACAAGGCGAGGACGCACTGAATGGGAAACAGTGCTCCTGACTACAACCATAAACTGGTTGGTAGAGTCTCGCTCGGTCTTGCGACCATTTGAACCGTATGGGGCAATGCCCCGGTTCAGACCCTCATTATTCTAGGGAGCGTAGGAAAATTCCCTGATCTCGTAAATAGTACTTGGGAGTTGAAATCCGGCCGAAACTGGTACAATTCTCTGACTGTGGTTGCCTGTCGTGGCTCCTTATTCTTTGTTCCTGTCTGTGTGATTTTTTGGGGTCTGTAATTTCGTTGTGTCTGCGCATTGATTTTGCCAACTTCTGCCCATGGAACAAAAAACAAGGAGCAACGACAGCAACGATTTGCAACTCTTTCCCACTTAGCGGGCACAACTTTTAACGACCCAGTCATCACACACCCGTCTTCTGTTTCTCTAGTACAGACGAGAGAAGGAATAGCACACTAGTAAAGCTTCTTGAGTTAACAATGCATGTTTTCTCGTTAAAACGTTAACTTAGTGCCCCGTTAGAGGTGCAGCTCTTACAGTGGCGTTCGATTTTTGCCAGTGCGCTTGTTCAAGTGACTTTGTAGTTGGCCAATACTGTGGATTGTGATCGGCCTGCGCGTGGCACTTCTACGGCTTCCGGAGATCTATGCGACTCACGAGCAACACGAACATACAGTCAACTTTGCGTATAACGACACTCGGCGGGGCATCAGAAAAGTGTCCTTATTCGCGAAGTGTCGTTATACCCGAAGTCTCAATATATGTGTAGGACTCAGTAGCCCAGCAATCCTCTATATGTGGTCATTGCTCTATATATGGTCAAATTGTTTACAGGTCGCTATACATGGTCACTCTATAAGTGGTCATATGCAGTGTGTCGGGTCTATATATGGGCACAATAACATTGCAGACAGGCTGAGACAGCACACACATGCACCTATAGATGGCCACTCTAGATGTGGTCAACTCAACTGCTAACTGAAATTGTACTAGTACATTGTATGTGGTCACAACTCAGAACAAGATATCATTGCTGCGTGGGGTAACGACACACCTCAGACCTCAGACCTGCCCATCGCGGAAGCGATGATAGCGAACAGCTATGTTAGACATAGCAACTTGTGCTGGGATTACACAATTCAACGACACACACACACACACACACGGACACACACACATCATTTTACCTCTCCTCGACGTGAACATTCTCAGTCGCATTAACGTGCTCCGCAGTTTTCCCCTCACCCCACTTGGGTTCTGTGCTTTGACCAAACACACTGTAGTTATTTCCTGAAAGGAAATCCAAAATGACTCCGCATTTCTATCTTTAGTTTTTGAAGCACTTCGTATGGACTTTCCAACTCTGTGACCTGCGCTTCTTCTTCCACCTTCGAACTACATTATACAAACAGATCAACCTAAAGTATTATAGCAAAATATAGCAGGGGATAATAGAATAACTGCTTCAATTTCACAAGCTACAAGTAAAACAAGCTCAGTCCACAAGAAAGAAAATCAGTCAAACTGTAAACAAGAACAAATCAAAAAGACTGTAGCTTTCATGATGACCGCGTTCATACCAGCGAGCCCTACGTAGGGATCATTGGTTCATATTGCAGCACCATCTGTGACATTGTCTTGGCGATGGCAACAAGAAAGAAAGCCTGCGCATTTTATGGTGGCCGAGTTCATACCATGGGGTACCAGGGTCCAGGGAGCCCTATATGGCCTATGTAGGAGGCAGGGATCCCTGGTTCATACTGCAGCACCATCTGTGAAAGCAAGGCTTCATTGTATACCATCTGTGACCATGTACCATTGTCGCCTAGCGCCTGTACACTGTACAGAGATATAGTGACCATATATAGAGCTGTGACCATATATAGAGACGTGACCATATACTGAGTGTAACATATGTATACAGGCAGACTGGACTTTGCTCTGGGCATGGAAATTCTGTCGTTATTCGCGAATTGTCGTTATTCGCGAATTGTCGTTATTAGCGAAGTTGACTGTACACTGTTACAGCGTACACCGTGTGCAAGTACATGTACAGAAATATGAAGAAAAGTGCATTGCGATCGAGAGAAAAATACTGGTGTAGCCAGCATGCCACCCCTCCAGCCCTGCGGAGTGTTCCTCGGATGGTGTTCGTATTTTGCATGCGTGAGTCCACAGAAACCTAGGACAGTCAAATTCGCTTATAACGGCAATCAGCGGGGCATCAGAAAAGTGTCGTTATTCGCGAAGTCTCATTATACGTATTACAGTTGGATGGGACTTTGCTCTGGGCATGGAAATTCTGTCGTTATTCGCGAATTGTCGTGATATCCGCAGTCGTTATTAGCCAAGTTGACTGTACATGCACTACAGTGCTGCTCAATGAAATCCAGTTGCGTCACTCCGGTTTGCGCCGTGCACAATGTCGTAGCCCAGTGTTCGCCGGTCTAGGGCTGCGCAGCGCCCGGCGCGTACTTGAGTGACGCGATTGGATTTCATTGAGTAGCACGATAGTAGCACTGTAGTACATATGCCTCCATAATCATAAGGACGAAATTTTAAAAGCAGTTCCGTGCTATTTAATCAAGCTAGTGCTAGCACTCATATTCACTGTGTACCACAACATTACGTCAGTGACAAATTTCAACTCCGCACATGTGCTTACTTTCTTTGGCGGCAGTGTAGATGGTACCAGCCAGTTTGGGATGAGGTTTGACCGTCTTTGCGGCAATCACCACATTTCCACCATCACGAGCAATTTTCAGCGCAATGGCCTTGCCAATACCTCTGCTGGCACCGGTAATGAACGCTGTCCGACCAGCGAGTTTCCTGCAAAGTTCAGTGTGCCAAAATCGAGTTGACACGACTAGTCAGTGAATGAACAAGAACCTACTGGTACATGGTCGTGGCTTCTCTCAGCTTACCCCGTGTTGATCATAGTTATAGTGCAGTTGGATAAACCCTTTGACTTGGAGGAATATCTCTGCAAATGATCTGCTTGAAAGCTGAGAAACACAAGATCTATGTCTGTACGAAAGAGAGAATGAGTTATCACAAAAATCAATCAAAGACGTTTTCAAACAGCAAAAACTTTGAAAAAGGACCAGGTCCAGGTCACATATCTGATTCTGGTCACGTGCACATGACGACTTGATTTTGGCAAGAGTGCATGCAGTGCAACAACATGTAGTGGAGCATTCTGGGAGCCTGGAGCCTGTACTGTGTAGTGTGGAGGGCAAAGGTCAATCTGCTCCCGACCCCTGATTCCACACAGTTTCTAGCAGCAGTCATCATGGTCATTGGTCAAAGGTTGATAGAATTATTTCGACGGGACACATTCTTCATCATGATCCAGAATAGCGTTGGTTGGTTTGTTGTCGTCTCAGTGAAGAAATACACTGTAGGCACACTTGTCTGTGTGAGGAGTACCTGAGCCTACTAGGCTAAAGAGCGTGTGGCAGTGCTTTGTTCTGTAAGTAACGTTGTAGTGAGTGCAGATGCAATTATAGCAATAAAAACTGCTTTATGGCAGTTTTCTAAAAAAAGTTATTGTGTTCTAGTCCATGGACCCCGTCTAAAAAGTAAGAAATTAACGAAATGTGATAGCTGAAAATTAAAATTTCACACAAAACCTCACAATAATCACAACACTTGAAATGCTGCTTTCAGCTTTAACTTGTACTGCACCAACAATTGGCAACATGCATGCATAGGAAAGAGGATCACGAGGGGAAAAGGTCTTCTACATGTAGCTTTTAATTCTGTGTGTCATTATTGTGAGGTTTTGTGTGAAATTTTAATTTTCAGCTATCACATTTCGTTAATTTCTTACTTTTTAGACGGGGTCCATGGACTAGAACACAATAACTTTTTTTAGAAAACTGCCATAAAGCAGTTTTTATTGCTATAATTTCTTTTGTTTTTTTCTGTCACCAATCAATGGAATGCCCTATATCAATATGTAAATGATGGCTTTCACATCATATCAAGAGGTTTATGTAGTCTTGATCATATCAATACCGTATTATACCAAGAGTACATTATGGGGGTTATGTACTTTGCATTGATGTGCAAGCCTTTTCTTGCAGAAAATGGCACTAGCATAATGCATGTTCTTCTGCGGGGAAACATGTGAGTAGTGGTGGTGATACTTTTTTTATACGGAGGTCATTCTGTGCATGTTGCTGTTGCAGAATTTCATGACTCTGTCATAAATTTGTCTTGCCTTTCAGATATTTCAGATTTCCCCGCCCTCGATCAGTTTTATTTAAGAAATGTAGCCCTGCGCCAGGTGCTTGTCGCAGAGGTTTTTGGTTGATTCTGTGTTTATAATGGTTTATAATCATGGGTTATCGTGATAAGGTCATCCAGCATCATATTGCACTGAAATCGTAATCCTGTTGATGTCGATACAACTCTTGGAAGTAGTTCAATGACTTCAAACTGTTAGTCCACGATTTTCTAAAACAACACAGCAAAGAAGGAACAATAAACATGTATTAAAATGTAAACAAATACATTGCTGAGTCCGACACCTCATTCCAACAATTACACTGATCCTGAGGATAAAAGGGTCAAGGCTATAGTTGGAGGTACTGATACAAAATTATTCTACCTAAAGCAAAGACCACATCAAAATCGTTGTTTCTCTTCCAAACCTCCCTCTTATGGAACTGCCTCCCACCAAGACTAACTGCAGAACCATCCATTATTGTTTTCAAGAATGAGCTTCGCAAACTCACTTGCAAACATAGTGCTTCGCTCTCCTGTATGCCTACGCCATGTAAATACCCCCCCCCCCCCCCCCCCCCCTGTGTGCTCCCCAATGCATTCACGCTGCACAACTTTTCACTACTTTCACTTTAGCTCGTACATGTACATGTACATCCTTCAAAGCGGTGAACCCCTTGATAGGCGACAAGCCTCTGGGTCATCCTAATAAAGATATTATTATTATTATACTGAGAGATAAACAAGGCACTCCATGATAATAAAATCTTACACATCTTTTGGTGAGTATGAATGATATCCAGTCGAACCTCTTTAGGACGAACACCAAGGGACCGATGGTATTTATTCTGTGAGTTTGTCTTAACCTATTAATTTTATAACCAGTGAATACAATTATTTCTCCAATAGACATACAAATAGATTTCTTCTACAGCGAAAGATTCTAAGCCACACCGACTCATTGACTCGTCTCGTATGAAACAAAAGAGTCACTTGAGAGGTTCTGCAAAACGAAAATGCGTACAAACTTTCGCTCTACATCATGAAGTGCGAAACTTCGCACGAACTTTCGCAACTTTGGACGCGAAACGTGCAGGGAACGCGAAATGAACTGTCGTAGGAAATTTCGTGAGATCGGGTCATGGCGTACGTGCACTTGACCCGCGCAAACTACGAAAATGTGCAGAACGCAAAGTTCGTGCAAAAATTCGTACACACTTTCGCAAGGACTGTCGCGAAACTTCGTTCGAATTTTCGTTTCGCAGAACCTCTCTAGTGAAACTTTCTTTAGCAACATGACGGCAACTGAAACAGCAACAGAGAAAGTACGATACATGTACTGCACATTCTTGCAGGTACTACAAACAGATTGCAGATCGTAATTCTTGCTTTGGCGGCACGAAACTTTATTTGGGGCAGTGCAATCTCGGCGGTACTCACAAATCAAACAGCCCAGACTCGAGTAAACAAATGCAATCATACAAGTACGAGATTTTCACGAGACGAGACTGCACCCATTGGCTTGTTTCGTATAATAATAATAATAATAATAACTTTATTAGGATGACCCAAAGGCTGACCGCCTATCGTGGTATGAAGCAAACAAGTTACCGAACCTCTCCACAATGGAGATTTTCCCTGATATGCGAATTTATTTGGCAAACTCGGTCAATGAGTCCTTGAACCTTTCCCTCCAGATTGGGAACTGCCAACGATAGTATGCCACTGACCAGTGCCTTACTTGTAACGTACTAATGTGCAATGAATATGAGTATTTTGACAACACATCTAACATAAGCCTTACCGTAGAGAAGGGGAACTCGCGTTCTTCGCACACTGTAGGCAATGGCAAAGAGATAAAAATGGATCTAAATCCGAATAAAATCAGCACACGTTTCCGTAAATGAAAGGGTGAGCATAAGCAAATGAATCGAAGGAAACTGGTCAACTCAGAGATCACCTGTCATTGAGTATTCCGTAAAAGGAGGCCTCGGCAGCGGAAAAGCTAAATTTAGAAAGGAGATCCTGTCAGCTTTTCCATTATGTATTGAATTCCGGTCAAAATCAGCACACTTTTCGTAAATGAAAGAGTCAACACAAGCAAATGAATCAAAGGGAACTGGTCAACTCACCTGTCATTGAGTAATATTCCGCGAAAGGAGGTCTCAGGAGCGCCGAAAAGAAATAAGCCAGGCCAGGAGACGAAATATCCGAAACAGCTCATGCAAGAAGCAGTTCAAAAGAAGGAAGTTCCCCGTGCATGCACATCCGAAAAGGCAACAACAAAAAGTCTGCAATGCACACGCATGCGGCCAGCCGGCCGCGCGATGGTAGGAGCCATGGAGTAGCTCCCTGGTCCAGGACCAGGTACCGAGCATCTTACGTAGAAACTTACGTAGCTACGTAGACAACGTGTCTGAATAGCGGTGTCGTTAGGTAGCGCCATGTGAACACAATAATAGAAAAGCTGACAGGATCGCTTTTCTAAATCATGACCAACCAGCTACATTGTATTTCGCCACTTTCCCCTTGAATATGGCGTCGATGTTACCCAACACTGGCAACAGCTGGTCGAGAAGATTTTTGGGAAGCACTTTGCCTAAGCTCGAACATCAGCTTATACCAGATCTCCGTTTTTCGCTGCCTATTCATGTTCTCTCTGGCTGGCCCTGCCTCTATCAGTAAAATCATCTTGTATGCTAATGGATTTCAAGTTAGTTCAACATGAAGCTTGAGTTCTAATAACTGCTAATCCTTCATTCAGATTTGTTTAACTTTTTGGGTCGCCCTGTGTAAGTTAGGTATTGCCTCTTGTAATTATTAGTTGTCATTTTGCATTGTTTTTGCTTGCTGCCATGGCTGGCTATGCCCCCCCCCCCCCCCCCCCCATCCCTCCATATTGGCCTATGTAATGTTCCCTGGCCACGGGAAGGTGAAATAAAATAAAATAAAAAACCGTTCCGGCTTGGCATTGGCGGATAATTAATGCTCGAAAAGGTGGCCGATTCTGCTCGAAAAGCAGTGAAATTGGCAGAACCATACAAACCTTATAAGGGCAATTCCTCGAATTCTGCTCCATTTCTTTATCCACATACCAAACATGCCTGAAACTTACCAGAAAAAAGTACCGAATTCTGCCAATTCAAGTTTTCTGCCGGCAGTATCCGCAAAGTCCTAGTTCCGGCTCACTGGAGCCCCCAGATGGGTACATGGGTGTCAGCTACTTGTAGATCTACTACTTTTTTTTTACAGAATGCACCTCCTACTGATAGACCATAACAAAGAGATGAGAAGAAGAAGACAAAAGAAAATTATGATCGAGACAACAAAGGAGAAAGACAGACAGTAGTGTCCTAGTACAGTAGTAGGGGCTCTCAGGGAGCCTGTGCCGGTGAGGACTTGTTGTTGGATTGACAGTATCTAACAATACTAGTACAGTACTGTACTAGATTATCTAATACCATTGTATTGTACTACTTGTACATGTATGTATGTAGACACTTCAGTAGAACGATTCCCATCAAAGGCAGCTAGCTGTAGTGACCGCTTCGGAGCGCAAAGCTTCAAGCTACTCGTGTAGCCTAATAATAGTCTACCGTACCAGTCTACGGTACCCCACTCTGGGGGAGGGGCAAACTCCATATGGCCATCATTGGCTGCCATGCCAAAGCAACAGGGCTGGCAGCATCCACTCTGCTGCGCGGTAGTACATTGTCATGTTGTTAGTTTGACAGCATGAAACAAGGTGGAGGACACTGTGTTCGGAAACAGTGACCTACATGTACATTTGTAGTATTGGGTTATCATTCAGTGTACATGTACATGTACAGGTACAGGTACATACCTACAGTGCTGGCAACTGAAATCCGACCCCCTTGCCGGCTCGCCGCGCCGCCAAGGGGGTCGGATTTCAGTTGCCAGCACTGTAGTTGTAGGCTCACGCTGCATGATTTAACCAGCGTGAAAAGCCTGCCTGCCCAGGGAGTTGATCCGGGACATAACCGGTCCGTAGAGTACGTTTCCTTCCCCTTCTCTGCAATCAGTTGGCCTAGACTTTTCTGCAGAATGTGCTCAGCTGCCTTGCCACATCCGCCAGACACACTGAATACAAGTGGCAGACATGGCGCATGCTCTACCTCCCGAACTTATTCTTCGTAGACTCGTCGCTTCAGCTCATTTTGCCCGGAGATGTTTTGATGCATAGTGATCCGACGCTCATCATTCGCTCCCTTGTCACTGGACAGTTCTGTCCGTTTGGTTTAGCGAATTCAAATAAAGAAAACAACAACAACAAAAACAACAACAGTTGCTCGTGCCCGGAGTATGTGGACTCCAGCGATGAAGACTGATTTGAGCGTGCATGAAGACACTTGGACGTCGCAAAGCATACGCTCAAAAAGGCTTCCCCAAACCCCAGATACGGCCACATCAAGATGAGCACCATTCTCTGACTCGGCAATGGCAGATCGGAGGCGTAGCAGCTCTACTTCCAGGGGCTGAGATGGAGGCCCTACATCCGTGGCCATGCACTTCACGAATGAGATCAGCTGTCAGGTGGCGGAAGACATTGCGGCAATGATGTTGGAATTTCTATTTCGGCGCTTTTCCATGTGCATGATGACGCCCCAAAAGTCTGTTGTTTGGTTCACAACATACGCCACTGACTGTTGGTTTTTCATGGACTTTTGAATTTGAGTAACTAAACGCTGCAGACGCACGCTGCAGACGACGTGCAGTCACTAACTCAGAAAAGCTTTAAAGGGGCATGCTTGTCTCTGACCACAACCGCATGAGAAGCACATGATCAGATTGATGGGCTACATGTATACAGTATAGTACATTGTATTATGTTTGCTCCCACTGTTTGTACTTTGTAGTGCATGGACATGTACATGTACGTCCAAAGAGGTATTATGTGGCTGAGGTCAGTTGACCGTGGCAGGTATCTCGTGTATACAAGCATAATATTATTATACAAGTTTCATGTCATGATCATCACAAAATGCACATCTGTAGACCACTTGCTAGCTGATTGCTTCACGCCCGTTCAGTTTCAGCCGTTGTGCAGCCAGACAGACAAATGCACCTGATCCTCTGCAGCGCGGCACTTCCCCAGTGCTGGCGATCGGGAGCAGGTGAGGTGATAGACAATCGTTTACAAGTGAAACTGGGATACCAGATTGATACTTACCAGACCATTAGTATTCATGCACTAGCAGTTGCGAGCTTGTGGTTGACCTAAAGAAGTAGTGATTTGTAGGAAGAGTTGCGAGGAACAACAAGAGACGCCAGACGGGCTATGCGTGCATACTCACCAGGAGTAACGGAGTTGGCATACAGGAATCATCCAACCAACAAGCAAGCGTCTGAGGAGATTCGTGCAGGCCGTGTGGTGTACAAGTAGGTGACAGCGGTTGGCGAGGAGGATTCAGAAGGGGAGCAGGTTGTTGCTGTGGCGGCGGACATTGCACATGCACACGTCACAGTGCTGAGCAGCAATCCGATGATGCTGCAGCGCACACTCTGCATACTGGCATCATGGCTCCTGACTGTAGCGTCAGCGACAGGAACGAGGATTACGACTGGGTCTGATCGCAATGTATTCCGAGGTCCGTGTCCTCCAAGCACATTGAGCCCTGGTCAAACCTGCACCCGCGAGGACGTCGGAGCCGATCTTTACCTTGGCGGACTGTTTCCAGTCCACAGGTACGACTCGGCTGCCCAGTCATGCACAGATGCAACATTGACAGCAGAGTTTCTGCAGATGCCGGAGGGAATGAGACACGCCGTGATGCTCGTCAACAACAGCACGCGGCTCCTGCCCAACATCACGTTGGGTTACGAGATGCGAGACACTTGCATTTCTCCATCGCACGCCCTCCTGGAGTGTCTAGAATTCCTGGGCCGATCAACTGACAACGAGAACTGCACTGAAGCAGAGTCTGTGTCCGGGGAGAGGACACGTCCCAACGTTGTCGGTGTGGTGGGGGCTGCCATTAGTACGTTGAGTATCAAGACCACCGAGTTGCTGGGACCATTCAAGATTCCCATGGTTAGTTACGCCTCCACCAGTCCACGGCTCAGCAACAAACGGGAGTTCCCCTACTTTCTGCGCACTATTCCCAGCGACGCGTTCACCGCGCAGGCCACGGCCAGTATGATTAGGGATATGGACTGGCGGTTCATTGGCTTCATACATACAGACGACCATTACGGCCAGGATGGTGTGAACATGATCAAGACCGCACTGGGCTTGAGCAGCGCCGAGTGCACGAGTTCCTCCTCGGCCGAGTCCCTTACGGCGCGATGCCAGTCCAGAACCTGGGTTATACAGCGGCACCTTCTGGAGAACGATACCATTTACCTGAAGATCTGGAACGACCTTCTCTACTCGCGGCCAGAGAATCAAACAACAGTTATTGTTCTCTTCTCGCAGAAAACTGAGGCAATCAATTTCCTTGGTTATTTGAAGCACTGCCACCCCGATAGTAAGCTGTATGATGACGCCCTACACAAGAACATCACTTTCATTGGGTCGGATGGTTGGGGAGACTCTGCTGAGGTAGTCAGAGGCAATACAGAACTGGTCCAAGGTGCCGTCAGCGCTCTGCCCCGGGCGCCGTCCTACGAGCCCTTTCGCCGGCACTGGGCCGGCCTGACGCCATACAGTCATCCGGAGAATCCTTGGTTGAGGGACCTCTGGCGCAGTGTTTTCCACTGCAGCCAGGAGAGTCCAGACGCCCTGGCTACCGGCCAGCCAGTCCCAGCCTGCCTCAAAGAACAAAAGCTGGCCGACGAGCCTATGATGGGTAAAATTCCGTACATCTACAATGCTGTGTTTGCTTTTGCCGCAGCCCTTGACAATATTTACCGCGGTGTTTGTAGATTCAATGTTACGTGCTTGAAGCGACGGGCATACACAGACCTCTTTCGGGAGCTGCGTTCGGTCAAGTTTACTACCATATTTGACTCACAGTTTGAGTTTGACGCTAGCGGAGATCCGGGTCTGCCCCACTACGACATCAACAACATTCAGGTAGCAGCTAAGGGACAGTCGGCACCGCAAACACCTGCTGCTACGCCAAGTAGCAAGGCTTCAAAGGCATCACCGTTTCAGATAGTGGGGAAGTACGAGGCTGAATTGCTGAACATCAGTGTGGAGACATGTAAATTCACTGCTAATGGAAGTGTACTATTTGCATTGCCCGGTGGAGATGCAGCTGCTTGTTTCGCGGAGAGCATTTATCTGAACGAGTCCCTGGTGGTCTGGAACTCTGGCCATCATGATCGCCCCATATCTCTGTGCAGCACTACCTGCCCACAGGCTGGCTACAAGCGGGCGTTCAGTGGCAGACTGTCCTGCCAGTCGTGCTGCTGGCAGTGCACTGCCTGTCCTTCCAACTACTTTTCCACGTCGCCAAGCAGTGCCACATGCAGCCCATGTCCCAGCAACCAATCCAGCAGCGAGGCTGCTTCCGGATGCACAGATGTGCCGCAACACGAGTACTCCGGTGGAAGTGGCCTGCCTATTGTTCTGACGTGCATTGGCGTGTTGGGCATGGCCAGTGCGATAGCCGCCATCCTGTACAGTGCCAGGAAGGCAGCCAGCAGCTTCTTTGTGCTGGGCCGAGAGCCCACATTTGCTGCCCTGGCTGGACTGCTCCTGGCCTATATGTCCGTTCTTGTGCAGAGTTCCGGTCCCAGAGGCGGTGCATGCTTCATGAGAGCCTTTCTGTCAGCAATAGGCCTCACTGCACTGATATCTTCCCTGCTAGTGTTTGCCCTCTACCGGATAACGTCACTACACGGGTTGACACTGGGCATGTTGCTGCGATCGACTAGAAACCGTCTTCTGGCCACGGCAGCTGCGGAGTGCGTCACGTGTGCAATTGTTATCATCGCCTGTGCCGGCGGACAGTGCTCGTCCGCGCTGCAAACTGTCCACACGCACGTCAGCACGGAGCGACGCTGCGGTTTCCGCTCCGTTGACACTGCATGCCTGCTGTACGTGTGTGTGCTGAACATCGCCCTGATCACACTATGCGTTCTTGTCATATACCGGGTGAAGCGCAAAGGGGGTGCCTTCAGTGATTGCTACGAGATGACGTCGCGGCTCCACCCACTGACAGCTGTGGCAGCGCTGGTGACCACCATTCTGACAATCGTCTTCCTGGTTTCTCAGCATGCCGGTCAGAACTGGTCAGCGCAGGTGGAGGATGCAATACTTCACGTCACCACCCTGCAGATTGCCACTTCCTACTTCCTCATCGTGCTCTTTCAGCCCATACGCAAGCTGGGCACCATCATGGAAACACAAGATAGAAATGCTGACTCTAACAAGCCGGGCATGGGAAAGTTTCGACTAGTGGTGCACGGACCTAGTGAATTCTCCTCCGCCGGTTTTGACAGAGCTGCTGCCAATACCAACGCGTTCCCAAACATATGTGGCGACACGGGTCGCTACCAAATGAGCGTCGGAATGGTAACATACTTTGGTAGTGAACTCGGCAAAGATGATGATGTGATCAAAGATCAATACAGCGATGTGGAGAGTGTGTGTGATGTGATTGCGCTGGGAGGTTTGGAGGCAAAAGCGGATCCAGGCCTAGTTCGACTTGAGCCAGAAACTGAGAAGCAACAAGATGGATTACCAGCCGGGCCACCAGAAAATAATGACATGGACTCAGAAGCTCATGCCACAAAATGTCAGTTGATACCACCTGCCGTCGACTTGATTCTCTCACATGAAGACGAAACTGAGGATTCAACTCCGACCGAGAATCTAGGCAAGACGGTTTTCTGCGTTGTGAAGCGGATTGGCAGCGTCGACTCAGCACGGTCCATCCGGAGCACCCGACCCCCGTCCGTTGTGGCTGCAGGGGCTGGGCCCGGTCAACTACAGCTGCCTCCCTGCCAAGAGCATGGAGCAGGCTGTGCAGGAGATGAAGATGACTGCTGGGTGCAAGTTGTAGCACAGACAAAGATGTAGACACTTTGGCAATTCCTTGAAGTATACACATGTGCACATGTACAGTGGTTCCTTATACCGGTCCATGTAGTTTAGTGAGCTGAGAAAGTGGCTGTCAGAGAGTACCACATCGGTGCACTGCTGTGCGGAGTAGTCCAATTCAAATCTCAGATCAAGACCGTGCACTCGAAACATTTTCGGCCAGGTCAGTAAAGGCACCAGCTACAATCAATCATACCTCTCATGTATTTAGTGATTGCTTGTGTTCATGAAACTAACACTTACTTGTTTTCCACATCTCATATCTCTCTCTCTCTCTCTGTCTCTCTCTCTCTCTCTCTCTCTCTCTCTCTCTCTCTCTCTCTCTCTCTCTCTCTCTCTCCTCTCTCTCTCCTCTCTCTCTCTCTCTCTCTCTCTCTCTCTCTCTCTCTCTCTCTTTCTCTTCTCTCTCTCTCTCTCTCTCTCTCTCTCTCTCTCTCTCTCTCTCTCTCTCTCTCTCTCCTCTCTCTCTCTCTCTTCTCTCTCTCTCTCTCTCTCTCTCTCTCTCTCTCTCTCTCTCTCTCTCTCTCTCTCTCTCTCTCTCTCTCTCTCTCTCTCTCTCTCTCTCTCTCTCTCTCTCTCTCTCTCTCTCTCTCTCTCTCTCTCTCTCTCTCTCTCTCTCTCTCTCTCTCTCTCTCTCTCTCTCTCTCTCTCTCTCTCTCTCTCTCTCTCTCTCTCTCTCTCTCTCTCTCTCCTGACGTTGTTTTCATTTCCCTGTTTTGAGACGTTTGCCCCGTAAGGTGCAACATAGCTATAGACAATAATTGATCTACTGAGAAACGTTCTGCCTTCAAACATTGTACATGCACGGCTGTATTTCTAGTGTTTAGTGTTAGCACCCACCTGCACTGGTCCACTCGGCTATTTTGGAGTCGGGTATGGGTGTATGGGTGTATGGGTGACTCGGGGTGCGGCTAGTCTGAGTACACTGCTTAGCCTGTTGAGAATTTAAAAGGTATCCAGCATACTTTGCCAGCTACATTCTTTAGAAGATACTGCTAAGGAGATTTGCTGAATTGGCAAGGACAGGCGTCGTACTACTGTGACCTTTGATACCTCCAGACGATTAATATTATTTGCTTGTCCTCTGAGTCTGAGTCCTGAAACCTAACATCGTTCACTGTACTTATACATGTATTATCGCATTCAGCTTGTCTCTGAGGAACTGTGCACTAAAAGTCTTGTAGTCTTGTACATTGATCATAATAATCATTATTGCACTAAGTGCATGGAACTCTTCTAAGGATTCACAGACTCCATTGCAGCCAATGTGTACTTTTCTTTGTCTCACATACAGTGTCTGTGTTGCCGTAAAGTCGCTTTGGACTCACCAATTTTTCGTGCATGACCCATCCCCAGGTTGAAACAGCAAAAGTAACGACGAACAACAAAGAAATGGAGTATAGGTCGTGAGGTGCGGTAGAGAAGTGATAATGAGAAATGTGCCAGCCTGAGATAAGGCGTGCACGTGTACGTGTGATGAGTGGGACCGTTGCTGAAATGGTGCTGCCGCGAGAAAGGGGGAAGAGAAGTGGAGAGCTGTGTTTGTATGTGAATATGCTAGTGCAAAGTGGAAATGGAATAATGTGGAACTCTGCTCCGGAGCCATACGAGTACCGGTACGTGTGCAGCCATTATGAAGTAAAGACGATTTGCACTGTAACTTTGTAAGGGTATACAGGGAAACCTGTCTAAGACGACCGCTCAAGGGACCTTCAAAGTGCGGTCTCTGTTACCAGGCGGTCTCCTTATCCAGTGCCGTTTGACTGGAAATAGCATCCCTTGGTCCTGGCTGCAGTGGTCTTCTGGGACAGGTGGTCGCCTTATCCGAGTGGTCGCCTGGACAGGTTTTACTGTACATGACCTATCACACAGTGACACATGCACCAAGCATCACAGTCATGACTCATGTACTTGTAGATCAACCTACGTATTATAATATTATAAGCCTTGTTTTGTTGAAACATGTTGTTGGCTGACAGCATGTAAGAAGGTGGAGACTACCGTGTTCGGAAACAGTGATCTTACTACAACCTCTGTGGGTGGTCACTGAGAGCCCCGGTCTTCACGACCAATGCCAATGGTCGTATGGGTGTTAAACCCGGTTCTGACCCTCCTTGTTCTAGGGAGTTGTCTTAGCTTTCTTATTTTATGATGACTGAGTATCAGGATGACATCCAGGCGCGAACAATGTATACACGACTGACGGTACAACAGCAAGAAAACTAAGACGGAAACTCCCTAGAATAGAGAGGGTCAGAACCGGGTCTAACACCAATACGGTTCAGATGGTCGTGAAGACCGGGGCTCTACCAACCACGAAGGTTGTAGTAAGATCACTGTTTCCGAACACGGTGGTCTCCGCCTTGTTTACATGCTGTCAGCCAACAACATCGACCGACATGTATGTTATTGTGCAACATCACAGTCAAAGTGTCGATCAGTAATATCATCACCACTGCACCCAGCACTATACTGACTTATACCATTCATTTTATAGCAGCAGTAGTCTCCGGCGTATAACTACATTAACTACATTCACGGGTCGGTTCACATGCAAGGAACGACTGTGCGGCGAGAATAGATGTACAGTCGTCCCTCTCTAATCCGGCACTTTATAAACCAGCACCCTCTATAAACCAGCACAATTTTCAGTAGCCAGATGTCCTCTTCATGCACATTGCAGCAGTAGATCAGATTTGTTAATCCAGCACCCTCCCTAATCCAGCAGATTTCCGTGGCACAAATGGTGCCGGATTATAGAGGGACCACTGAGTCTCAAGCCCGGTCAGGGTGATGGGTACCGGGTACGCGCGGGTGTGGAGGTGCAAGCCTCTTTTACGGGAAAAATTAACGTGACAATGGATTAAAATGCAATACAACATACACTGGAGAAGAAATCAGGAAAATACATGTTATGTGTAAAAAAAAGATGTGGGTGTGGAGGTACTAACTTATAATAAAAATTTTAATAGTAGTGCTAACTAACGCGTACTTGTACTAAGTTGTAGTGTAGGTTCCTTCGCCATTATTGCATTATTATTGCCCGGCGACGAAAGACAAGCAGTGGGTGTGTCTGACAGTGACACTTGGACTTTGGCCTTTCATGCAGTGATTGTGTAAGACACGCCATGGCAGCTGTGAGAACCGTCAGGCGTCACCGAGCTTGTGTAGATCTACAAGTAATACTAATAGTTGATAACTGACAACACTACATTCTACAACAGCACTAGTAGTACTGTTGTAGAATGTAGTGTTGTCATAATCAAGTTACTACTAGTACTGTACTAGTGCCGCAGGGTTGTACTTGTAGACCATGCATGGTAGACATGGACTCTCGTTACCTTAGTTTAGGTAGGATCTCTGGTAGACAACACGCCGGCTCCCGCCTCCAGTTGGCCGTGCGTGGGCACAAGGGCAGAGCCACTTCACTTCACTGCACTTCACTTCACTGTCTTCAGAAGTAACAAATAGTTCAGTCTTCTGCTGGACTTGCAGCACAGCGAACGCAGTCAGTACAGTCACATGCACAGTCATTATTACCTGATCACAGTCAGTACTGCAGTGCAGTCTCCAGCAGCCTGGCCAGCACTACACAGGGCAGTGCTACTGCTAGTGAAGGACAGGGATCTTTCTTGGTTTACCGGCTGCATTGAAGTGAAGTAAGTTAGTGACTAGCTTTGTGGTGCGTCAGAACACACTTGCCTTGAGGGCCAAGAATATCCAGTCGTTTCGCTTGGCTGTCGACAGTGCCGGAACCTCTTTCCTACAAACTACTACTACTAGGCTAGTACTACTACTAGCTCTCAGACAACTAGTAACGGCGACGGCGAGCAGATATCTGTCAAAGATGTCGTTTCCTGATTGCAACAGCTGGCTATGCACATGCGGAAAGTGCAACTGTGGGTAAGGAACTTACGATAGTACATGTACCGGTACATGATTGTGTCGTGGGTCTTCGTCGGTCTGCAGCTTCTGCATGTCGCCTGCAGGTTCTACAATGCACGTCTGTAGTTCTCCACTGTTATTGCGATATTGCTCCTTCTGTTCCTTCTGCATTTTCATCTTGTGAACTTCCACTTTAAAGGGGAAGTTAAGGCAAAAATTAAAATTTCACCAGTTGTAGTCTTCGGGGTGCTGAGTCGAATGGTCTTGGTCCGAGGAAGCTGAGACGCTCCCTTCCTACTTGAATCCCAATCGAACTCGCGCACTTCCACCGAAACTGGGTGACTGCGCCCTACTAGATGGGGATTTGTATGCAAAATGTCACTAAAAGCGCCATTTCGTTCTTATAAAAGCACGGATGACCGCGATTGGCCCATATGTTGTAGTCTTTGGGACGCTGAGTCGACTGGTTTTGGTCTGAAAAGGCTGCGATGCAGCGTTCCTCCTTTATTCCCAATCGAACATGGTTGAAGAAGCGGTCACGTGGTCCTGGGTGCCCAAATCACCTGGTCACCACGCCAGCAGGTGACAACTTTCACACCAAGGTTCAACTCGGGTTCAACTCGAGTGACAGGACTGCACCCAAAAAAGGTCAAACAGGCTAGTAAGTTGTACCCTGCAGGCACGGTGACCAGGTGACTGGTGTACGCAGGAGCACGTGACCGCTTCTTCGACCATGTTCGATTGGGAATAAAGGAGGAACGCCGCATCGCAGCCTTTTCGGACCAAAACCAGTCGACTCAGCGTCCCAAAGACTACAACATATGGGCCAATCGCGGTCATCCGTGCTTTTATAAGAACGAAATGGCGCTTTTAGTGACATTTTGCATACAAATCCCCATCTAGTAGGGCGCAGTCACCCAGTTTCGGTGGAAGTGCGCGAGTTCGATTGGGATTCAAGTAGGAAGGGAGCGTCTCAGCTTCCTCGGACCACGACCATTCGACTCAGCACCCCGAAGACTACAACTGGTGAAATTTTAATTTTTGCCTTAACTTCCCCTTTAACCAGTGGCAGTGGCAGGTAACGACCGTCACGTCACCAACTCAGGCGTTTGTAGCCTTGACCGTGTTGACTGCATGCACTATGCTATGGATTATTGTTTGTGCTTGGATTGAACGGCACACACACATAACAGTGACAGACTCAGAACTGATGTGACAACCAGGGAAGGCGGCCAACACTCTGAAAATCCAGTGACAGATGGATGCAGCGTCTGGTGAGGGTGAGAGGATACGTACCAACCACTGGTACCTTCCTAAGGGTGTGCGGACACCACTGTAGCCACTTCATGATACACCACTACCCCAAAACGGTCTCTCGGCTACAAATTCTTCCAAAAATAATTTTAAAATTGAAAGATGTTCCTGAAGATGGGGCTGGCCCGAAAATTTGGATTTCATTTAATTAATTAATTTTGGAAGCATTTGTAGCCGAGAGACCATTTTGGTTAGTGGTGTACACTGAACTGTGTGAAACCACTGGCACAAGTGCCAAAACCCCATTAGCATCCATGTACCCTTGTGCCTGGCCACAAGTTCCCAGTTGACTGTGGGTAGCAGCAGGGTTGGAAAATCCGCTCCCAAGCAGGACTTGAGCCAGATATCAGTCAGAGCGGTTGGTAGGGCCTGGGCCTTGGCTTGTGTTAGCATATGAGCTGTCAGGACATACGGTCGTAGAGGCCAATTCCTTGCCAAGTGGTTTCTGCTTTTAGCCATGAGCCGTATGCATGGTCCTCTCTGACTTGTGATAAGCCGTAAAAGGCGTTATTGACTTATTGTCGAATAGAGTATGAACGGGTTTGTAGTACGGTTCCAAGATCTGAACGGTGTGCTTGTGTGTTGATGCGTGTGTGTGTGTGTGTGTGTGTGTGTTTGTGTGTGTGTTTGTATTCACACACTCTTCACAGTCTGCACCCATGTGCTATTCACAAGAAAGGAGCCAGGCAGAGAGATGGGCTGGGCCAGTCGCAATACAATACAACATATGTAGCCGCTCCCGCAGGGGACACCCGGCGCATCACCAAGTGTCCAGTCTTGGTCAACAGGAGGCCATCTGAGTATACGGAAAAATATCTTGTGAGCACGAAGCAGAGGGACTACATCAACCATTGCCAGCCCAAGCCAAATATGGTGAAGAAACCCGACGTGTACGAGCCACCGACGGACAAACCGGAGAGCCTCACCTCGTACGGCCAAAACTTTATCGGCCTGCAGGGTCCTAGGGCACAGAATATGCGTCCTCCAACGGAATACTCCACCAAGGGCCCAATGCTACTGAACACAACCAACCGAGAAGAGTTCAGACCTTGGGATAAGTCCAAGCCGGCCATGATCTTCAGAGATCCCACACCACGCAAGTTCTTCGATGGCAACTTCTTGGGCTTGTCCACCAATCAGAGTGACTTCAATGCAGAGCAGGCTAAGCTAGGTAGGCCGTCAACGATGTGTCGTATCCAGGAGACGGCGATTCGTTCCACGGATCCGATGGAACATACGACAACAATGAGAGAAGCGTTCACCCACCGGGGCTATGAGCCCAGCCACATAGCCCACAAAAATGTCAAGAAGAACGCACCACAGCAGTCCGATATCCCAATGAACCTGATGACACAGTACGAGTCCTCTCATCCCCAGGCGCAGCCATTTCAGAGGCGACGCAACGCCGTCCCGCCGTTCCCGGATTTGATTAACCTGAAACTCGACGACGAAGTCCGATTGGAGACGGAGAACCGCTCAAAGTACTTGCTGCACAGCACCAAACCGGCTACACGGTGTAAACCGAATGAAACTAAACACACCGTAGATACACCGTTCAACGAGACCACAACTAACCTAACTCAATTCGCCAACAGAGGACCTCCTGAGCCGGCCAAGTCGCTTCGGCCTCCAACTAACACCAAGCAGAGAGGCGAAGTTCACCTGAAGACGACCCATCAGGACGAGTTCACTGCAAAGACAACCAGGCCACGCACACGGCATGGTAACCACCGTGACACCAGTCTCCGTCAACCTGGGAATTTCACCGGCCTGAGCACGTTCAACAGTGACTATCTTAACTACGGCTCCAGGGCAAAGCCAGCGGAAGCGGTCAAGCCACTCGATCAGCGGTTCACTAGCCCCAAGGGTGCGAATCAAGTCCCGGGTGTTGTTGGTGTGCCCACCTACAGGAGTATGTACACAAAGAAACCATCCCAGCGGCTTTGTCCAGCTGCACTAGTACCAGTAGCTGGAACAATTCCCTGGCGCTATTGACCAGTGGCCAGGAGAAGAGGGAAGTTGGTTGGAAAACTCTACGAAAAGCACTGTACTGGTACACACATACCGCCGGTATTCATGTAAATAAATAATATACATGCATGGAACTACTAATTGCATACATGTAATGATGTGCGCATCACATCTGCACATGACATCTGTACATAACGTCTGCACATACATTCTGTGTATGCATAACACATGCACATAATTCCATACATAAAACGCGGACATTGATTTTTTCTCCATGCCACCACTAGCCCAGATAGCAGATATGTGGCCGGAAACTATTACAAACTGGCTGCTGCTTTTCGCGCTTGGCACGTGAGGCAATCTAATAAAGCATAAGACAGAACAGTGTATATTGGATGACCATGGTACATGTCTCGCCGTATGATGCTCTCACAGAATATATTTCCTAAGCACTGCCGTCTCATGTTGCATTTTCTCTTTCTTGCAATTCGTCACAGTTGGTGGCAGTTTACCAGAGTTGCTAACCTTTAGATCAGCCAAGGCATTGCTGCCACTTTCTCTCCTCACCATGCACAGCACCGAATACTAATGATATCAGTAATGTTATCTGCTCATCATCCACAACACACGAGCACAGCTGAAGTAGTTCAGTAGACCGTGAACCCGTGACACAACATTTGTTCAACATTATTATAATTGTAGGCCCTATCCCTCTTCTTTCTTCATTTCCAGGCCCGCCATCGGTAGGTGTTTCCGTCACTCTATGCTTTAGTCGCAGCAAGAGACCAGTACGGCAATGCTACTGTCTGCGCATACCATATTAGGCTCTCCTTCATTGGGTGACGCCTTCTCGTAGTCACGATTCACAAAATATGTTTTTTTTCTCTCGCACAGACTATTAATTTTCATGAAAGTAATTGTCAATCTCAAGACAACAAACAGACTATGCATGACAGGTGTGTCTGCAGGATGATGTAATGCATGAGCCCATAAGAGAGCTTTTCAAGTATAATTATTATAATAACAGTCATTTTGTGGTAACCACTCATTATCTTAAGCCACATGACAAAGTAGTATGATTTCATGATGTCATCAGTAAGCATGTCACGCCAACCCCTTGTCAAATAGCAGCAGCACTGTTTCATCAACACATAACATACGTGCATGCGAGCATGTACCTTTACACAGACGGCGTACATACACAGTTTAGTTACACACATGCAAACATGCGAGCATGTACCCACAGAGACGGCGCACCGTGACTGCACAGGTTTAGACACATGCAAACATGCGAGCATGTACCCACAGAGACGGCGCACCGTGACTGCACAGTTTTAGACACATGCAAACATGAGAGCATCTACCCACAGAGACGGCGCACCGTGACTGCACAGTTTTACACACATGCAGACACGCATGCTGGTGGTGACCGACATGCAGACGACGCTCAGCGCTTTCCTCTTCTCGACGTAGCAGCGCTGCCAGCCTTGTTACCACCGGTCTGCTGCTTGGACTTGATTGACTTTGGATATTCCAGATAAATGGCATCTGTGTAAGGCCACGGTGATATCTACAGGCAAGCACAGCGTGTAAACAGAGAAACATCTTATAGCACATGTATACCGTATTTTCTGGAGTGCAGTCAACTTTGCTAAAAACGACTGCGGATATAACGACAATCCGCGAATAACGACAGAATTTTCATGCCCAGAGCAAAGTCCCATCCAACTGTAACACATATAATTAGACTTCGGGTATAACGACACTTTTCTGATGCCCCACCGGGTGTCGTCATAAGCGAAGTTGACTGTATAAGCCGCACATCTATCCCATTTACCATTGCTAATTCGGCCATTGTAGGGGTGATTTACCAGTGTTCAATGTTCGGCTTTTACTTGGAAAATACAGTAAGCGATAAAAAATCACTGATACCAATGAGGGCTGCACTCTCCAGAACACTGTGTATTGAGCAGAGAGTGTTTATTGATAGCTTGCATGCCGTCCTACCGGTAGGACCACGGGTCCTACCGGTAGGACCCAAGAAATCGCGCTGCAAAAGTGCTTTTGGTTGAGAAATTTCTTGAAACAATTGTTGAGATGAGGTCTTTGTCAGGCAAAGTAATGGCGCAAAATGCAAGACTATGTCCAGTGCATTGCATACGCGCAATTTTATCAATTGTCAAAATGGCCGCACATACTCCTGTCGGAGCGCTAGCAACTCTGTCCAAAGTGAATTTTGACCATGGCACATCAATCGTGGTGAGGTACTAATGTTTTTGTTAGTCTGCCAAGGCAGTGGAATGCATAATTCCATACACCGTTTCCATGGTTACCATTTGCTGTTACCATGGAATTTCGTACTATGCTTTGTGCGATCAAGTCTATAATTTGTGGACTCCTTCATTAGCCCCTGAGCAACAGTTTAGGGTCAAGTTTTAGGTCAATGTTAGAACAGAGGCCATGCAGCATGTCTGTGTATGATGGTCCTACCGGTAGGTCCTACCGGTAGGACCGAGGTCTATGCAAGCTATGATTATAGCTTTGTCGCAAGTTGCCGACTGGAAGGGTATGAATGGATGGACTTCTTGCGTGCTCTATATGGCAGTCGTGGGTCAGTCAAGTGTCTAGTAAAGTCGGCAGGAAAAGCGTGAGCTCCGATGTAGAGAGCAGCACCTCTAATATCGCCAAATTCGCTCCACATCAATCAATGTCCGCTGTCTTCAATTGTCTACCTGTGAAGGCAGTGTGTGGTGGGTGTATGCAGCATATGCCCCTCAGTGCAGATATTCCAGTGCTAGATGGAGCTGTGCATAATCCACAATCCGGCACAGCATGTCGCATCGTACTGCACTTGACAGCCTAGATGAAGTGTCACGGTGAAGGGGGGGGGGGGGGGGGGGGGAGATCAGCAATACTGTCCTTCCTACATCACCCCAATCCCAAAGCTCAGTAACGTTACCTACACAAACCAGATCCCCCAGCTCATTAGCTACACAAACCCGAGCCCACATGTTGATAGCTGTAATGCTGTGGTCACCTCTCACGCAGAGTAAGTCATTGTACTGCGCTTTTGCTCCAGGACTTCGCATACACCAGACCATGCAGTGCAACTACATGTACATGTACACGTAGTTGTTGTTATAACTCAGCTCTAGGATACTACTAGTCAGGTTTATACTGATTAGAGACTGAATGCATTGTGTGGACTATTTCCCGGTTTGAAACACCCATTGTGATGTGAAGACTTTCAGCACCATGATCAACAACACTATGCGGGAGGGGCGTCGGAAGGTATTCTAATGTCACGGGTACGGTCAGCCATCTGAAGTACAATCTACTCGTGGTGTTGGGTGGCTCCTCTGAAAAAAATCGAAATCTAGAGCCCAGATGAGTGCATTTTATTGATTCACTGGGTACGTGGAACAAAGCGTGGTATGGTCAATACCATAGTGACCGTAGCGTGTACGACGCCCCTGCAGTATGTACTGAGCTTTGCAGGCAGCAGTCCGACTTGCTACTTACTTCATCAACAGTCTTGGCTGGTTTCGGCGTTGGAGAGTTTGCACCGATGATGTTGACTCCAGTGTGCGCAATGCCATGCTGCCACAAACAAACACAACGGAACGCAAGCCTTTTTAAAAGCACATGTTGCAGAAATGAAATACAACAGTCTAGAATCAGGCTGATGTGAGTAGGGATGGGGGGGGGGGGGCATAAATGTGTGGTACAGTAACAAGAAATCCTTCATTAGCACTCAATGTGTTATGGTGTACGGGGATACAGTGAACATTCATTAGCACTCAATGTGTTATGGTGTACGGGGATACAGTGAACATTCATGAGCACCATTAGCCATCCAGCTAGGTACTGAGCTACCAGTATGTACTAGCACTTACCAATTGCCAATCACCGAGTTGCTCACTCCACGCCACATTTTCCTCAATGATTTTCTAAACCGATGCAGAGGCAAGAAGAAGAGGTGGATGGACACGAAGCACACAATACAACCGTGTTACTTGAAACTTCAGAACACATGCTTTACCAAGCACAGCATATAATACTAGGTGCAGCTGCTAATACCTTTGAAAATAAAAGCCACACAAGAGAGAGAGAGAGAGAGAGAGAGAGGGGAAGCTGTGTTGCAACTCCCAGTTTCCACGTGACCTCGGAGTTGCAACACAGCTTCCC